TCCTCCGTATCTCCCCCTTCTCTTATTCATACAAGAAATAATAATACAATGTTGAATGGCTGATCCAGAATCAATGTCCGAGTTCCTCTTCTACTGCCGGCATCACTTGAGGTCCACCATAGCCATGGCCGCCTCTTCCTCCCTTCATCATCATAGGCCGAGGCTATGGCGAACTACTAGGCCTTGCCCAGATGCCCAAAGGACAACCCAAAGCAGCTATGGCTGCTCCAACTGGCCGCCATGCCCAACTCTGCCTCGAAGCTTCTTGGTGTAGCTCTCCCCAGTTGGGGACTCCCTGCTGCAGCTCCCACCAAGGTGATGAAGATGGATGCCACCATAGCCAGGTAAGTACCCCTGGCGCTCCTCCCCCTTCCTGTCCTTCTTCCTCCTCCGTGTCCTTCTCCTTCCCCCAGCAGCGCTGCTCCAACCGGCGCTCCAACCAGTGTGTCGCCAAACTTGCACACCGAGAATGAGGCCGGGCTCTTCACCCAGCTGGGAGATATAGCGGCCTGCTTGCCTCTTCGGGCGGTGACTTCCAGGCCGCTCGGCAACCAGTACCTCCTCCCTTTCGGAGGGAAACATCATTGCAGACTCACTGAAGGCGGGGCCCTGGGCAATGTTCTGTGGTGAAGGTCTCGTCTCACTGGAGGGGAGGTGAAGGGCAGGACTTGTTGCCCGAAGAACCCGTGTCCTAGACCTTTTTGGCTGGCGGTGCCTGCCTTAGAGGGGAAAACAACTTCCACACCTGTTCGCTTTCGAATTGGTCCACAGCAGAATCTGCCACAGGGAAAAGAGGCTCAAAGGTAGTGGTGGTTTAAGCATTTTTGTGTGCCATCTGGGCAAACAGAAGCTCCGGTGGGTTACACAGTCAAGGTAGTGGGTCTGGACGGGGATGCTGGAGTCGCGAATTTGCTGAGTCCTTGACTGATGCTATGGAGCACCCACAAAGTTCGTAACTTGTATGCTGGGAATACAAGGGCCTTGAACGATATCACAAGGGAATCTTCTGACACCTCACAAATCGGGTTTGTCCTCAAAGTGCCATGAGGTTGTGTGGTCAAGGCAAAATGAAAGGAATTGGTGGAGAAGTTTTGTTTTGTGTGCTGTGTGGCAAGGCCCTTTGTTATGGCATTCGTCTGATTTCATCACTGTGCGGGATTCGAGCTCAGATCTGTTTATCAACAATTCGTGGGTGTACTTTTCGCCTGGGTTAACAGGTAATTTATGTGACTCTTTACCAAAAGTTGTTTGTGTTGTAAAAACAAATGTCACACTTTTCCCTTTCTTTTTCGATTTTGCATTGGGCCCAGTGTCACACCACTAGTTTTTACGTTCCTTTCTTTCTCGATTTTGCATTGGGACTACCTGGTACCCTCCACAGACCTGCCCTGGCCATGTTGCCTGGTTGGGCACCTGGCCTGTGTGATAAGTAGATGAACAGTTTTCCACATAAATTACACAGCAGTCACACAACATAAATAATGCACTCACCGGAGCAAACAGATCAACACAGGACCCGTAATTGCTAAACCATGCCATCGCATCATTCATCATTATCGCTCCGACACTGATGACTCCAGGTACTCGGCCAGGGGAGAAGTTGCATGCCAGGGCATTGAGATTGCCTGCTGCTGTGACCACTACCACGCCTTCCTCTAGAACTTCCTTGATCGCCTGGTCCAGAGTGGGGGACGCATCCATTGTCACAGACATGCTCAGGACAGCAGGGAGTTTCTTGTTCTTACTGATCCAGTCCAAACCATCAATAATTGCATCGGAGGTGCCAATGCCATCACATGCCATTGCCCTGACTGCAAGAAGAGAAAAACGAATGGCAGACACAATTACAAGAGGAATGAGAAAGGAAACCAAATCTCGATGACAAAATACGTCACGACTAGTCAAATTTTAATTTCACACCATTTCCCCCCTTTTCTTTTCTTTAACATCAACGACGGCCCCCCATGAAAGCCCTTTCCTAATACAGAATTCCCTGGTTCTAGGATGGCTCCTTTCCATTGGTGGGGAGCACGTGCTGGGAACTCGGCCCAGCATCCCTTGTAACGGGAAGGACTGGGATTCAGTTTGTATAAGGGATTCCGGTTCTCATCAGCAAACAACAAAAACTTGAAACAGAAACTGGCGCAACACAAGATGTCTGGAGATGGCATTATCAGATGGGTGGATAATCCGCTCAGTACAGGGCAACCGATCCTGTCTTCCAGACTGAGTAGTCAGGGTGATCACAATCCCAACAAAAGGTCTTGCAGCAGCCAGGTGATAATGATGAGCTGACAGCTTGAATGGAGAGCTGGGAGGTTACTGAATCCTTACATACTTCATTCTTTGCAATCAGACTGTGTATATAAGGGATGCTGGGCTCGGTTCCCAGCAGGTGCTGCTCGCACCAATAGGCAGGAGCCATCTATCAGACAAGACCTAAATTGAGAGGGTGCTCTTACCACCTCCCCGATTGCTTGCAACCGAGATGTTTTCACACACACAAAAAGAAACAAATACAAAGAAGGGATCCAAAGTGGTTTGTCGTAGCCTTCGTATTAGTTGCTGGCCAAAAACTTGGAACAACTCTTTATCTGTCTTTTTGAAGACCTGGGTCTCGTCTAATGCTGTCCAGCGAAACCGAGGGATGTGTGGGACAGGGAACAGGTGTAGGGCGTGAGCTGGTCTGGGATGTCCATCTTTTTATTTTTCGGATTCAGGGCCGGGCACAATTTTTTTCTTTTGGCTAGGACCATTTCCTCACACCTGCTTTGTGCCCATTTGCATTCACAGTCCCCCTGCAGAGCACGAGGTAGCGGGTTTTGCTTCTTTGTTTGGAATCGGTGGGTTTTGTCGGGTTGCAATGTCTGAATACAAGCGCATAGCAGGCCCATTCAGAAGACACCTGGCTGTTAGCATCACGGTCATGAGCTCGAAACCGGGTGGAGCTCACCCCAAAAGAAACAGGACGATACAGAGTGGTTTTCTCATTTCTATTCGTAGGATTCAAGCCGAGGCATGCATATTAGCACTTGATGGGTGTACCATTCAGCCACCTCGTTGTTGTTGTTGTTGTTGTTGTTGTTGTTGTTGTTGTTGTTGTTGTTGTTGTTGTTGTTGTTGTTTTCCATGGCGTTTGTACACCCAGTCCACATAGAATCGCCCACCTAGTCCACACTGTTCCACCAGCCCACATAATCAAGTCCACACACTATGACCCATCCCACTTAGTACCACTCAACCCAAGTAGCATCACCTGGGCCACAAAATACCCGGCCCACACAGTACCACCCAGTCCAAATAGGGCCTTGTGTGAGGAACGAGCCCTCAAGGGGCCCTATCACACAGCACATTATCTGGGCTAAGGCCCCCAGCAAGCCAAGTGCCCGCCCTAAGTGAAGGCGGGCCTGAATATTCGTCAGAGGCAAAATTCGACATTTTCATGTGTGGGTATTCAGGCTCTCGCAGCACGCCAGTTGGTTGGGTAGACGCGTGACCCTCACAAAGCTGCGACATACAGTTGGCCCAGGCTTTGACAGTTGCGCCTGGGCACATACACACAAAGCAGGGCCGATACATTGGGAAGCAGGCCAATGGCCTTGGCAAAAGCAGTACTGCCGACGCACCTGCATGGGGCCCCTGCATAGATGCAGCAAACCGCCCAAGTCCGGAGACTCAGCCCGTGCCCAACTGTAAGGAGGTCCAGGCCCTCAATTGTAGTCTCAGGCCTGGGCGCGGGGTCTGAGGCCCAACCGGAAGCTACTGGAAGCTTCCAGCCAGGCCACACGGAGCATCCAGGAGGCTGCACTTCCACAAAAGGAGGAAGGCAGCCCAGGCCAGGCATTCTGGCCAGTGCTGGCAATGTGGAAGTGCTGCTGCGCTCTCGCTTGATGCTGCGCTGCTGCCAAAGGCGCTGATGGGGCACGAGGTGGTGAAGGAGGGGCGCTGCAGGGCAGTGGGGCGCAGGCGGCCATAGCCGGGCTGCTGGGCGCCAGGGGGTATAGCGAGTGGTCTGGTGTTCTTCAGGGAAGGAGGCGCAGAGTGGAGTTATCAAGGTCTGATTGAGGGTGACGAGATACGTACCTGGTGCATGAAGAGAGGTCGGCTATGGAGTTGACAGTCGTGTACACTGGTCTTCGAGAGTCGGAGTGAGCCTGTTGCGTGAACCAGCTGTAGGTAGGATAGTCGGGCAGAGTAGGTTGAGCGCTGGGCACCAGACAGAGAGGAGCGACTTTGGATTCTGTGTTGGCGTGGCCTACGGGCTTGAACATTGGCTCATTACTTCATTGTATGGCTCTATATGGATGGTTTCTCGGTGCATTGCATACTCTCTGCTTGGACACGACTACCTCGACATCTGTGTGATTTCGCAACATTGGTTTTCTGTATATCGTTCACACTCATATTCCTTGCAATTTGGTATCGGAGCTGGTTTGTGATCGCCACTTACCTGGCACCAGCGACATTGCTACTTGGTGCGCTGACGATGCTTCATGTGCAGTAAGGATTCTTTGGTGCTGGTTTGCATGAGCGGGGCCCAGGTAGAGGGGGCGGCCGCTGGAAGGCTGTGGCGACAGCGTGGGAGCTGTGGCAACAGCGGATGTATGTATGATGATGAGAGTATGCTGACGTGGCATTTTGGCTGAGGTAGCACTGCATTGCGTTATGGGTGGTACCAAGGCTATTGACCGGTCATCGAAATGCACGTCGGCCCAATTGGTGAGAAATCTGTGGTTGGGGGCAGCTATCTCCAGGTACATTGTTCCCATTCCTTGTCTACCCTCTCAATCTCTTCTTACCGTGAGGAAGTGAGTCCAACTTGAGTGTCCTCTCTTTTGAAAGGAGTCGTGTGCGCTCTATTTTGAGAGACGACATTCTTCCCGGTGGCACATCTGGCAGGAGAGGGCGGTGCCTCTGAAGGGCCCTGGTCGAAGCACGGGTCACGGTCACCATGCCAACCCATGGGTACTAGTACACGCAGGTCATGCTGCTTTGTCCATTAAGGCACTTTGCTGCGCTGATAGAAGGGGTGTGCGAACTGACCAGTCCTACGTAGACGCTCCCGGACTGTCTATAAACATTTCTGGTTGGGGTCTGAACTGTCCACTGGCTGTGATCGTCGTCCTGATTGCGACGTTACAGAATTCCTGAGGACTCTCGGGGGCTGTCCTTAAATTGCTTCTTGATCAGCCAGATCAGTCAGACGTAAGGCTCGTTGCACGCGAGGGTAAATAAAGGGCAGGACTGGTCATAAGCATACTTCTTGGGCACAGGGGTGGGCAGTGGTTGCACACCTTAGATACCACAGCTTGATGATGCTCACAGGTACGTTGGATACAGGGGAAGGGGATTCCAATTGTGAACTCAACTGACTATCACTATTTTCACCATTGTGCATACATCTGCTCAGCTAGTCTATTTTTATTTTGATTAGCTGGTTGACAGACTGCTGACACCTAACAGACAGCCTAGAGTAGGACTGTAATCTACCATAGTCAGTTCTTCTCAAAGCTTCTGTTCGGAACTAATCAGGATAGAGGTAGATTACGTATATAGTCTATATAGGTGTTGTTGATACCGCTTGAATAGTAGCCGGAGGTGACTCGCTGGGTGATTATTTATTTATTTATTTTTAGCACCAGTCAGACGCATGCTGCGGTAGGTCCCATAGAGGACTCTAGTGCAGACAGCGTCTGCCTAGCTGACGAGTGGATCAGCCGGGGATGAAGGTGTAGCTGACACTAGGAGGTTAACAAAGCTATCATCGCTTAGAATCCCTACAGTGTTCCAGACACTACAACCGGGAGAAGAGAGAAGACTAAGGGCCGAAGCTAAGGCCCGTAGTCTTGAGGCTGCAAGGGAAGCAGCAGCAGCTAGCGGCGTAGCAATGACTACCGCTTCAACAACGTCTGCAGCAACTTCTGGTCTGGGCATGCCGTCCAATTCGACCAGCTCGCAGTTAGTCTCCAATACGCCAGGTGCCGACGCTTGTCAGATGGCGGGTGTGCAGTCCAGCCTACCACCTCATCTTCTAAGGGAGCAGATGGAGCTCCAACAGGTAGAGAGGATCCGCCTGAGGTTAGAGGAGGAACTCAAACAAGCTATTAAGATGGAGAAATAAATTAGAGAGAGAAGTACCAGACTAGAGAGTAGGGAGGCAGACCTAGCTGCACTAGAGAGTTTAGACGACGTGGACCTTAAATCTACAGGAAGGATTCTGAAGGCAAGTGTCTTGTCCATGCAGGCGTACATGGAGAGCAAAATGGACGCCATGCAGGACACCCTAGACCAGATCTTGCAGGCCCTACAAAGGTCGGGGACCCGAACAACAACTAAGCCATCGCTTCCATTATCAGCGACGACAGGCCCCTATGCCGCTCAGTCTGGACAGCAACCAAGCGGTACATCGCCAACAACTCTATCACAAACTGTTGCTTCTTCATCTTCTGGTCCAGCGACTCGAGCTACATGACAGTCGCCACCTGTCTAGCCAACGGGACAACAATTTCCTTGGTATCCCAAGACCCCCCTGAAACCACCTCCCACCTTCTCAGGAGACCAAAAGGATGAGGCTCTCGACACGTGGTTGAGAACGGTTCCAGTGTGGGTGAGGGCAAAGAGGACTTTGGTACAGGAGGCGGTGATAACTGCTGCATCCTATTTAGAGGGTTCAGCAGCCCGCTGGCTTAATGGATTGGTAGCTTCCAAGGGGTTTGGCAGGAACATGGGTGACTGGGCGCAGGCCTAGGAAATACAAATCGGTGAGAGAGCTTACCACGACCGTAGAGCGCCTGATTGTCGTCCCTGGAGTGGAGTACAATCCACAGGCCTTGTTGACCACATTCTTGAGATGTCTTCCCACAGACATCAAGAACTTATTAGCAAGTGAGGCTTGTAGAGAGTATCATACATTTGAGTCATTCAGCAAGAAGGTCCTAGATTTAGAGGCTACGCTGGGTAGTGCTCAAGCCCCCCCTACGGATGGAAGAAAGAAGAAAGCTCCACAAGAGTGGAAGAAAAAGGGAAGTCGATTGATGATGGTTGATTCCGAAGGGAATCAAACTGAGATCGATGATGTTTCTGAGCTTGTGAAGGGGTCATAGTCAGACGGCAAGGAGATTGCTGAGGGTAGCAACCTCGCCGCTGCGGTTAAGACTAAGGCAGTTGGTCGTGGCAAGGGCGGTCAACAGAGGAGTCAGGGACAAGCCGCCAACCCAAACAAAATAGCTGCTTGGGTAAGGGCTGGTTTGGATCAGGAAGTGTGGCGGGCCCGTTGGTCGCGTGGTGTTTGCATAAACTATAGCGAGTACGGCCATACACAGTTTAAGTGCAAAAACCCGAAGGTTCTACAAAAGATCCCTCCTAAGGGTGGGTTCCCTTCTTCTCAGTCTGGGGCCTCTACGAGCTCCAGGTCGGGAAACACTTAGGGTCGGTAGAAGTTGTAGCTGCTTCTACTCTCGTTGAAGCGGGTGAAGTACCCTCCCCGTTTCAAGAGTTGGTCGAAGCCATTGACTCCGTAGTCACCCCGTAGACGCATCCGGACCCAACTATGCTCTGTACGTTGGATGTGTCTGAGGCCTTAGAGGACCTTCAAGGTGAGTGGTCAGCAAGGGACCCTCATGAGTCCTGGGTGGCACTAAGTAGAGGTCCTAGAGGGGATCACTTCGTTGTGGAAGTTGGTGTGAGTGGTCGCAAGTGTGGCGCCTTTGTAGACATTGGCTCCACGCGAAACTTCATAAGTCGTGATTGCGTTGATAGACTGCGCCTACAGGACCGGGTGCTACGCCTTAGTAGACCGGTAGCATCTACTTTGGCCAACAAGGAGCGCATGACAATGGAGGACTATGTTAATGACGTAGTCTGCACTTTCTCCTACCCAGGAGGAGAGATAAGTCATAAGATATCATTTTTGGTAAGCGACAATTTGCCCTTTGACATGTTATTGGGCATGTACTACCTTGAGGTTGCCAAGCCCCAGTTTGACTGGGACAAGAAGGTGTTGAAGCACGAGTTGCCTAATGGGAGGACCGTTAGACTGGCTAAGTATAAAGCTAGTAGGTTAATAGACTCTATGGATGCTTATGCGCATCTGCCTTCTATAACTATTATAAACAGAACCAAGAGGAAGGAATGTACTTAGTCTATGTCTCTGAAAAAGGGGAGGTCGTTAAAACACCCCCAGAGATAGAGACAATCGTCGCTAAGTACCCTGATCTGTTAGAGGAGCCCTCAGGAGTCGTAGACAGGGAGGTTGTCCATGCCATAGAGATCATCCCAGGTAGCAAGACACCTAAAGGGAGAATCTATAGGATGGCTCTGGCCGAGTTGGACGAGCTTCGTCGGCAACCGAAAGAGCTCACATAAAAGGGTTGGATTCGGCCTAGTACTTCCCCCTTTGGCTCACCAGTCCTGTTTGTTCCAAAGAAAGGGGGAACACTAAGGATGTGCATTGATAATAGAGGCCTCAATGGCATCACCGTTAAGAACGCAGAGCCTCTACCACGCATCGACGACCTATTGGATAGGGTGTAGGGATGTAAGTACTATACAAAGATAGACTTAAAATCCGGCTACCATCAGATTGCCATAAGACCAGAGGACGAGCACAAAACCGCATTTCAGACCAGGTACGGTCTGTACGAGTTTGTGGTGATGCCCTTTGGCCTTTGCAATGCGCCGGGTATATTCCAGCACGCCATGAATAGCATCTTCCATGACTACTTGGATTAGTTCGTCGTCGTGTAGAACTGTCGAGGAGCATGCTCAGCATGTAGACGAAGTACTTTCACTCCTTCGGCAGCATAAGTATAAGATAAATGCAGAGAAATGCGAGTTCGGTCACACTCGAATCTTGTACTTGGGTCATGAAGTATCCGCGGATGGTATTAGGCCCGAAGATGCCAAGGTGGCTAGCATACGTGACTGGCCACGACCCCAGTCTGTGACTGAGGTCAGATCATTCTTGGGGATGTGTGATTATTACCGCAACCTCGTAAAGAATTATAGTACGATCGCATCTCCCTTGACTGATCTAACTCGACTTGACACACCATGGGACTGGACCGACGAGTGTGAGGCAACTTTCACGCGTTTGAAGCATGCTCTCACACACCATGAGGTTCTCATGGTACCCGACCCGCAAAGGCCATTTGTTGTAGCTCCCTTACTGTGGCCGGTGCTCACCAGGAAGCTAGGGTGACCAGCTCAGTGCGCTTGTTCCTAGGTAATTGTCGAGAACCAGCTCTCTGAGGCAAGATGCTCCTGCACAATGTATGCCAGAGGGAAATGAGCAATGTCTCCTGATTGCAGGCATTCTATTCCGATGACTGGGAATGCCAGCAAGTGAGCCCGGGAATTTGTGTGAACCCAATGCAAGCCTTAGGATGGGTAAAAAAAAAAAAAAGAAAAAAAAAAAGCCTTAGGATCATGGAACCCCCGGACCCGGACACCGGACACTTCCGGACTGTCTTCCAGACCAGTGTCTGGACCGGTCCGGACTGTCAGGTGATCCGGACATCACCGGACACCGGACAGTCCGGACCGGTCCCCAGGGTGCAAAAATGTCCGGACCCAAAAAAAAA